AATTTACCTTTAGGGGCAGTTACTGATTCATTTTTGGTTGTAATAAAAAACAGCCCGAGAAAAGAAGTCCATCAGTTCATACAGGTACATTTAATCATGCTAAAGATGTTTTTAATGGTCAAGTGAGTGAAAACGATTTAGCCAGATCATTTGGTAAAAGGTCAGCCGTGCACTGATGGTACATTATTTGTGAGCAAGCTATTTGGCTCTCAGTTGACGTTCAGGGACCTCACGGGTCTGACTGTGAACCTGAGAGCAGTATGTTCAGGTGACATCCACCCAACCCATCCACCTCCCTTCTTGCAGGAAACAGCAGTGGAGCTGATCTTTGCTGCTCACTCCACCACAGCCAGCGCCTCCACATCACTGGTTCTGCAGCTTCTTCGCCACCCAGCAGTGGTGGACAAGGCCAGAGTTGAACTGGAGGCGGAAGACCTCGGCTATGAATCGCACAACAGCTGCATTCAATCCGGTGTCACCATGGAAACAGAGGAGGGCGCCACTGACGCAGAAACAACCTGCCTGCTAAACACAGAGTGTCGGAATCAGAGAGACGAAGACGGTTTCCCGCGGTCGCAGTCTCACGTACCCTGCCTGAGCCTGGAGAAGCTCAGCCAGCTCCGCTACATCGACTGTGTCGTCAAAGAGGTCCTCCGCTTCCTTCCGCCAGTCTCTGGCGGTTACCGAACAGCTCTGCAGACGTTTGAACTAGATGTAAGTTTGAGTCTCTGGCAGGAAGATTTTACTTATTTGTATAGTTTTACAAAGAACTCAATAGATTTATTTATTTATTCAGCTACAAAGGAATTTAAATCTTATTCATCCCAAAGGGATCATCTCCAAGTCTCTGCTCCTGTAATTGACAAGGGCCGTGCGGGAAATTTATGAATGCTCAACTAAAAATACGCCAACGAGCGATTGGCTGATACATGATATAGGACTGTCAAATTTCCAACTAAAATACATTTAGATAACAGTCTATAACATTCAGTCCAACCAGTATGGGTGGAGATGTGGTGTATGTGACAGGTTTGGACCAGTGTTGCCAACTTAGCGACTTTGTCGCTATATTTAGCGAGTTTTTTTCTAAAAAAAGTTGCTAAAAAAAGACGTG